TTCCAATTAGTTGGTTGTTGTCGTGTATATGTTATAAAGATTTAGTTGAACTAGCCGAATACTATAAATATTCCATTTATTGTTTGTTTATTAATATTAGTATTATATTAAATATTTTATCAAATTTTGCGCAGTGTCACATACATATACTCGTATCATATATGTTTAATTAGATGTAATTATGACGAACATGGATTCATGGGTGAGTCAATGAGTTTTAATTGTAGTTCAATTGCGATTATTATAGCTATTATTATGATTATTATTTGTATTATTTTTAGTTAGTTGCGATTATCGAATATGCATATGTTACGTCACGAATGTCAATTGAATGATTGAAAATTTGCTGACCCTACTTCTTTTTATTATTATTATTTTATATATTGGATTTATGAGTAAATTTGCATTGGATATTGTTTGTCATATAAACTAATTTCAATATGTCAAACTGTTGCCAATTTTATGGATATATATACATTTATATATATATACATAAATAGACCGATATATGTATATGCCATATATATATAAAAACGTTCCGTCCAATCTTGTGCGTGTTTCAGTTGCTTATTGAGTTTATAATTTGAGATTCGCGTTTGCTTGAGTTTATTATAATTTACATATATCTATATATAATTGTATTACTTTTCTATATAATAGAAAATTTGTATTCAAATTGATTTTGGTTATTACAATTAATATTAAAAATCATTCAGCGAAAAAAGTGGCCATCGTCCTCTTCTTCTTCTTGTATTTTCTGGTACTTTCTTGTATATATACGATATATTCTGATATATCGATTTCTTTTCGCAGCTTTCTTTCAATATTTACAATAAATTTCAAAATTTTCTTTTCCGTTTTGTTGCTTTCAACATTTTTAAGTTTGTGCTCTCAATTTTATTTTGTTTACTATAAATTTGTTGGGTTGTCAAGCCTTTTTTAATTGCTTCATTAAGTGTTTGAGTTTTGTGTTAATTTATTTATTTTTATTATTTTTATTTTTGTCACACACTTTTCTCTAGAAATTTTCTTGCACAAACACTTATAATTTTTTGTATGTATATTTTATTTTATTTTTGTTGTTTTGTTTTCTGTGCCTCTCACTCAATCAATTAAAATATTGCTTAGTATATTAAAACAGTTTTGTGTTTTTTTATTTATTTATTAATTTTTATGATTTTATTTAAATTTATTTGTCTAATTAGTTCTAACATCCATTGTTTGCAGTTGTTTTGAAGACTAAAAGAGAAAATGGAGTAGAAAGAATTTTATATTAGATATTTATCACATATTAAGAAAAAGTATACAGATATTTCAGATATATGTACGCATTTGAAGTTTCAGGAATTCAGATATATTTAAACATAAATAAAAATATCTTCTAAACTGAAAAGCATATTTTTTAAAATAATACATAATAATACTACGGAATAATTATATATAATTCCTATAAATATTTTTAATATATTAATATTGAATTTTGATATCCCCTATTCAAATTACAATAAAATGTTTCTGTAAAAATCAGACTTTACTCGAACATTCCCCACCCAGCTAAGACCTCAGCATATGCTTATACTATTCGAGAATTCCAATTTATTTCGCTGTTCGGCTGTCAATTGGCTACAGGCACTATCTTATCATATATTCACACTATCCATAAGCAATATAAACAAGTTGTTCACTTGTTGACAATGTCAAAAACAATTTCTTATGATTTTATTTTATGGCCACTTTTGCCCCAAAAAAAAAAAAAAAAAAAAAAAATGTGCAAGCAGAGGGAGAAGCACAATGTGAGCATAAAAGGTTGCCAATTCAATATATGTATGTATATATATTTATATATATATTTTTGGCACCTGTTATACACACACACACACACACGCAGAAAAGGATACGCAGACTGTGAGAGAGGAAAGGCTACCCACACAGTTAGCCTTGCACTTGACATGTATCTGAAAGATACTTTTTCTGCTGTTGCTTCTTTCTCCACTTCTTTTTTTTATATTTTGGCTGCTGCAATTTGAAACATTTATTTGATGGTCAATTAGAAATTTGCCTGCCATTTGCAATTCGTTTTTCGCATTTCGTTTTTCCGCAGCAATAAAAATGCTGAAGAAGAAGCGACAGCAGATGAACTGGGGCCAAAGCAACCAGTAAATAAAATACATAGATGATGAGATAGAGCTGGGCAGGAAGAGGCAGCTGGGGCTGGAGCACGAGATGGCTGGTGTGTAAGAAGAAGAAATGTGTGTACAACAATGTTGCCAGCCGCGATGATGATGACGACGATGATGACGATGATGATGATGATGATGGAATTTTCACAAACACACGCACACAATGCAGAGAGCGAGCCTCGTGTCGTTATTTTTTGCTGTTTCTTTTTTTTTTTTTTCTTTTTTTTTTTGCAAAAACGCACAAGAAATAAGAATATCAATTTCCTCCTGTTGGAAAGCGCAAGGCAAAAATGTTCAGTTCCACGCACACGCATACGCACGCACACATACACATATATATAAATATCTACATACGTACACGTATATGTATTCAAAATAAATTCTTTAACTATATTGCTGGTTGACTAGTTGCCCGATTTACCTGTTAGTAGTGCTGTATGTGCTTTAATTTATTATTATTATTATTTTTGAGCTGCTGTTGCTGCTCGAGCATCCTGCTGGGCGCTTAAATGTTGCCATGTACGCGTGTGCTTATATGTATTAGTGCATGTATATATTTATAATTATATACATATATAGATGTATGGTCACACTGTTTCGAGCAATCACGAGCACACGCACATGCACACAGACTCACTCAGGCACACATACACAGACGCACGCTCGCACGTATACACTGACAAAACGCGCGCGCAGTGTTAAGCGACGACAGACAACACAACTAACACACACACGCACACACACATACAAATAAACAAGCACACACACGCACGCACAGTCACAGTCACAAAAACGCAGACACAGACACAGGCACGACCGCGACGCGACTCCGCTTGGCTCTGCTGTTTTGGCTGTGCAGGGAAAAGGCAACTGACAGCACAACCCGAAACCGGAACACCAACTGAATACGCTGCCAGCCCGCAATTGCCAGCCAGGCGACGCTGGAAGTGAACACTGCAGCAGCAGCAGCAGCAGCAGCAGCAGGCGAATCGGAGAACTTCGTTAAGCTCGCTCGCACACGAACGCACATCTCTTGCAGCAGACGGATTGGATGCCCCCAAACGGCATGGGGATGCTAAAAACGTGACTGGAACTCGCGCGTCCCGACACATCGTGATGCTCGTGCCTGGAAGCCAGCCAGCGCGAGCGTCAGCCTGGAAGAGCGACTGTCTAAAGAGAGCGCACCAGCTTAGTGTGACTCGTTAACTAAGTCGCATGTTAGCTTAGGCAACAGCCTCAGGAAAGAATGTGCGGGAAGCTGAGCATCTAAGAGAGAATGGCAGCAGCAGCAGCACCATTGAGCTTTGCTTGAGGTAGTTACGCAGCGGCATGTGTGTGCGTGTGTGTGTGACATATACAGGGTGTGAGTGCTGGAAGCTTTGCTTGGCGGCTCACTCAATCGGATATTGAGTTGGTTGTTGAGTCAAATTGGATTTTAAAATTAACATTTTTAAGAGTAGCTCAACTGGTTTTCAAGTTACAAAATGAATTATTAATTTGTTGATGCCTAATCAGTTATTCATATTTGTAGATAAGAGATAATACATTTTAAAATATACTATTTTGTTTATAAAATCAATTTATTGTGGACAAACATATATAAATAAGAATTGTTAATGAATAAAACATTAAACATACATAAACATGTATAATATTTTTTACATTTTAAAACAGTACAGAAATTTATTTATTTATTTATTTTATTTAATTTTAGCTTAACTCCTCTTTAAGTATAAATTTTAATTTTTTAATTAAATTACAAATTTAGTAAACAAAATGTAGTTGCCCTAACGATGTCAGTCACTTACAGTAATGGAAGGAATCATAGACCGTTTGCTCACTTGACCCAAATCGTTCAATGCAAACGCAACTAATTCAAATTATTTCAAATTTCACGCACGTTCATTCATGCACAAGAGCTCAAGCACACACACACGTACTTACGTATACACACTTTCTCTCTCTCTCTATCTCTCTCCTCCACACATACGCGTATAAGCTCACACGCACATGTTCTCACTGCGTAGGTCCAGAGCCAAAAATGATTTATGACCTCTCAAAAAAATTAATTTAAAGTAAATTCGCATGAATGAAAAATGGCTTTTACAAACGGGAAAACTACAGGGCGCCCACACAAAGAGCGCCGAGCTGAGAGGCAAATTTAAGAGAGTCGTTAAATGCAGCTACTGCGGCTGCTGCTGCCTTTACTATTGCTGCTCTCTTAAACAGGCCACTTGTAGGCGCCGCACTCGCTCTTAATAGTAGCTTAAAGCTCGTTCGCTCGCCTCACTCGCTCTCTCTCTCTTTGTGTGTCTCTCAGCTGCTGTGACTTCCATTGTGCTTATCCCTGTTTGCGCTTCCAGTGCTCCTCAAACTTTTTACACACACATATATAGAGCAACACGAGCCGAAGGCCATGGGAGGCTGCTTCCCAGTCGTGTTCGACTCGCCTTGCCTCGCCTATCCTCGGCTCTCTGCTCTCGGCTCGGCTTCGGGTTCGCTGCTGTCGCTGCATGCCGTTGGTATCCATGAATGAAGGCTGATAATGGCAGCTGGCGCGGGTCATTTGCGCCTGGCAAACAGCGCAGCTCACATCGCGCGGACCCTGTCGGCCTCTGCGTCGGCTTTTTTGCAAACATTTCTCATCTGCTGCTTTTGTTTTTGCTAAATTAACATTTTTGATTATCCCGCTAGCCAAGCTATCTGCTGTCCTTGGTCATGCTCTGCCACTCTCTCACTTTCCTTCCTCCTCACTCTCTCTCTCTCTCGTTCTACCACGCTCTGCCACGCACTCGCACGCATTTTGCCAACTCTTGTGTTTGTGTGTGTGCGTGCTTTTTTTTTCATTGCATAGTTTGCAGCGCTGGTTTTTTATTCTCTGCGCTGATTTGTGTTTGGATTTTCTACGAACTTCTTCATAGGGTCACATGGGATGAGTCAATAACTTTATTCAGTTTCTAATGGAGTCAAGGAATTTATATTTCGGTATTTATGTATATAAATGTAAACCTTTGGAACATTTCAGACAAATTTTATACTCATTCACGGAATTGAATTAATTTATTATTTCTTCTTTTTTATAATTTTATTATTATGGAAAACATTGTGAGCTGCCATAGTGTAAAAAATGTATTGTGTACTTATATATTTATGTACTGTTATACTGTTCTACTTTTTTACTGTTATACTGTTTTGGGCTATCAATAAAAATATTTTGCCACCCAGTATATTTCACCTTTGCTTATACAGTTCCCAAGTACCGCAGAAATTGCTTGCATTTGGCTTTGATAACGATGTGATTTGTTCGTTATATATGGAAAACACGCCATCGGTCAAAGGCAGCAAGGCAAAGGTCAAAAACACTTGTCGACTGCACTGAATGAATTTGTGGTCTCCCAATAAAAAAAGAGGCACGAAAAATACTTTAACCGGCTACCCGTTCTTAATAATACAAAAAAAAAAGTAAATAACGTCGAAAAAGGTACGGGAAAACACAAACAAACAGAGAGGGAAGCATGAAAAATCAAACCAAATAAGCAAACAGGCAAGCAAACAAAATGCCAAGCAAATTAAATAAAATGCACGCAAGATGAATGCGAAGGAGGAGAAGTAAAGCTGAAGGCATTTCCGGGACTGTTAATAAAATAACAGATAAAAGGATGCAGGTAGCAGAAGGTAGACTCGCAGATAAACTGATATATATGTTCACTATATATGCACACTATATATACACTATAATGGACATTAAGCAGTTAAGCAGCTTGCGACGGGGTAATACGATATAAAGCAAACAAAGAGATTCAACTCCAGCTCACATGTTGCACAAAAAGCATTGTAAAGGTTGTTAAAAGCAAATAACGACGTATTTATATTATATATATATTTTTTAATTATTTATTTATATATTTTAGGAATTTCTAATGGAAAAGTTAACGTATTAACAACAGTTTACCTTTTTACTGATAGAGCACTTCCCGCTTTTCAATTTTCAAAACATCTGCAATATACTGCAGTACGCTTCCAGAAGATATTCTTAAAGTATATCAATGAATAGCCATAGCATAGCTCATCCAGCTTTCAGTATTCAGCTAATAGAAAAGTTTGCATACAAATCAAAAAGTAAATTTACTCTAGATTTAATATTTTAAAGTGCGACTGCAAAGTTAGTGAACTAAGAAGTCCCTCAGGTGGTGTTACTATGGCTACATACATTGTACTTTCCACCTTGTATGCTCAGCATATGTGACCTTGAAATTTATAAACAATATTACGCATGCGATAGCTGAAAATCCATATGAATTTTGTTTAAGATGAAACTGGAAATAAAAAATAAAATAAAATAAAATAAAATAAATTAAATGTAAGAAAATAAAATAAAATAAAATAAAATAAAATAAAATAAAATAAAATAAAATAAAATAAAAATAAACCTTAAATTCACAAAACAATCTTGGAAAATTCTAAAATAAATGAGTGAGCTGAGGATCTAAATGGACTATGCGAAAGCTCCATAGAAAGTGAGTAAAAACCGATAAACATCTGAATGAATTTCAAAGGGGAAGCCAGTTGTAAAGTGTCCACAGATAAGAAACTTCAAGCAGGAATATTTGGATCAATATATTGTACAAAGGAAAATGCATTATCAATAAAATCGCTCAGCTCTGCTCTCGTTTCTGTGCATCTCTATGTACAATAATATTAAAGGCATGTTAAGGCATTAATTTCCCCAATTCTGATTCCTACACAAGCTCTTCAATTCCACATTTCAATTGCCAACTATCTGCACTGCTAAAAGCTTGACTCTTATCATTTACTTCCTTCGACATTTTTTTTGGCAAAACAATTCAGCTAACCCGATTTGTCACTCGTGCTCAATTGACCCATTTTGTGTTTAAAAATATATCGATATATATGTTTATATATAACTGCCGCTTCTTCTCTCCCCCTCTCTCTCTCTCTTCATCTCTCCTTTCTATGTTACAAAATCTGGTCCAGTTGGCATTTGGCTTGGCCACTGCTCAAATATTAATTCATATCAAGGTTTCGTCATTCATTTTGAATGTTCGCCGTTTGCTTGCGCCACTCTCTATCTCGCTCTCTTTCTCTCCATCGCTCCCATTCTCTCTCTCTCTCTCTGTCTCACTCTCGCTCGTTTGGTCCGTTTCACTGGGATCGTGTAATGAAATTTAAGCAGAATTGTAAACAAAGTTGTGCAATAAAATCAACAAACCGCAAATAAAGTGCAATTTAGAGAAGACTCCGGCCCAACAAAAAAAAAAAAAGCAGAGAGAGAGAGAGAGAAGAAAAAAAAAAAAGCGGAAAGAAAATAAATAAAACTGGCAAAGAAAATAGAAAGAAAATATATAAAGCGCCAAACCTAACGCAAAAGACTTTTCGTTTTATTTTTGGGGCGTTCGCTGGGGTCTTTTTGTCAATATGCCGCCGAGCAGGGCAAATGTTGGCCGGTGGGCGATGGGCGGTGGGCGGTGGGCGTGACTGTGCCTGATTTCACGAGCCATTTGCAAGAGTCCTTCATACAAAATGCTGCTGCAACTGCAGCCAGGATGTCAGCCCAGGCAGAAGACGCGAAAATTGCCGCAAATTGAAGCAAAGTCGGCGACATTTTATTGAAGCACGCCGTCACGCCGAAAGGCGTGGAGAGCCGCGCCATTCTATTCGCTTTTGGGGCATCCTCCGCTCTCATGGCATATCCTTTTTTGCTGCTATTTGCCTTTGAGTGCAATACAAATGGCCGCTTCATTGTTTCAATTTGGTGCATTTGGTGCCCCGTGGTTCCAATTTGCCAGCCTGATAATTTATGCAAATTCCAAACAATTTACTCTGGCTCCGTTCGCTCTCACTTTTGCTTATTCACTTTGCCAATTGATTTCGTGACT